GGATGAATCTGGAGGACATTGTGCTGAGTGAAATTAGGTGATCACAAAAGACAAATATTGTATTGTACCACTGTTGTGGAGTCCTGGTATGGAGCTGTGGGTTAATGCACTGGATCGTAAGGGCAGTTTGAACTGCAACATCAGCAGTTCAAGCTCACCAGCTGCTCCTCGGAAACCCCATCCAGGGTTGCTATGGTTCTGAACGGACTTGACGGCACATAACAACTGCTGTTGTAAAAAGTCAAAAGGTTTTCTTGATAAAAGAAGCAATCAAGAGAGACAGTTACGGGGAAGCAGAGAGGAAAAATTATTCACAGGCTAGACGGTAGTCACATGTTAGTTAACATGGGTGACAGGGAAGGCAATATACAACAAGAGGGAAGGGAGGAATGCAATAGTTAAAGTGAATAAAGGTAAATGCTGTGAACTGTTGCTGCATGGAGGGGACTGCAACCATGTAGTGAAGCAAAGTATATGGTTTGTTGAATGTAAAACTGATGATCTGCTCTGTAAACCTTCACTTATTCACAACAAAAAGTTTAAAAAACAAAAATAAAACAACCAGAAGCTGGTTCATTGTTCAGCACTGGCAGAAACCTTCATCTTTTTTTCAGTTTACTCCCCTAGGGCCTTTGCACAGGCTCTTCTCTTTTCTCCTCCACAACCGTCTAAATTTCTTAAGGGAAAAGACCCTTTTTGCTCTTTTATCTCCCATGCCTTGTACTCTATGTAACTATGTAACTATGACATACACTCAAATATTTGTTGAATGTATGATTTGCTATATAGACCAAATTTAAACTCCAAGCAGCCAAGTTCAGCTCATCAACCTAATCAAACTTACCTCTTCAACACTATACAATAAATACCCTCTTTCTAGTTTGTCCCTGTCCCCAAAAAAGACCCACATTCATTTCTGTTATCTCACTTGTTACCAAGCTATGCATTCTAATTGGAATACTCTACCTATTCTTTAAGGAGCTCTGGTAGCGTAGTGGTTACAAACCGGGCTGCTAACCTCAGGGTCAGCAGTTCGAAACCACCAGCTGTTCTGTAGGAGAAAGATACGGCTTTCTTCCCCCATAAAGATTTACAGCCTCAGAAACCCTCTAAAGGGTTGCTATGAGTCATAACCGACTCCACGGCACTTAACAACAACCTATTCTTTATGTACCCATTTTCTAAGTCCTTCTGCTCCATGAAATCTTTCAAAATTAGTCTAGTCCACATGAAATGCTTCTAGATTTAGGACAAGCACTGGATTACTAACTGCAAGGTCAATAGCTCAAACTCACCAGTCACTCCTAGGTAACTCTATACAAGGTTGCACTGAGTTGGAGCCAACTCGGCAGTGCTTAACAACAACAGATGTCACAAAAGTATATATTTCAATATTAGTATTATCTTCTGTGGAGTCCTGGTGTGGTGCTGTAGTATAAGCACTTGACTTCAAGGTCGGTTTGAACTTCAAGGTCAGCAGTTCAAACTCATCAGCTGCTCTCCTCAGAAACCCTATGCATGGTTGCTATGAGTCAGAACCAACTTCATGCACTTAACAACAATTATCTTGTTTCATCATGATGAATTTCTGTCTCCAAAACTTAAATACTATAATCTCTTGAAAACTGGCATCATATCACAGATACTTTAATATCTCCTCCTATACGAACCTAGACTGGTGTTTGAATACAAAAGATACCTAATAAATACTAAGTTGTATCTATTCTTATTTTATACACCATTAAAAACATTAAAGCAACTTAAAACTATAGAAGTTAAATGCCCTAACGACTGAAGAAAGAAATATAAAAAATGCCTAGGCTGTTAAGATCACTTTGTTTTAATACTAACTTTCACTCTGATCTTTCAGTAACCTGTTTTAAGTGCTGTCGCTACACCAGAACTCCATTCAATAAACTTACACTTAGCTTTAAAAAGAAAAATAAAGCATAAAGAAAAATGAGGAATAAAGTTATGATAAAAGGCAAAACAAAAAATACAGGAGTTAGGGACTAATTAGACATGAGAGGAATTAATTCAAAGGAGAGGACAGACATTGGAGAGCTGAAGAAAGGAGAGTCTAGAAGTTAGAAAACACTGGACAATTTTAGTTTCTCAAAAGCCAACCTTCCAAGTTAGAAAGTGGAGGTAGGGGCAGAGAGATGTACCTTTACTTCTGTAATATGAAACACAGAAGATAAAGGAAGATAGAAATGGCTTAACAAAAATTTCCTTATAAATCAAGAGTACCTACAAAAATAAGTATCTGTATTTTTATACAACATACCACTTACAAAAGTCTTTTCACAACTAATATCTTGTTTTATCCCTAAATCCTCACAGCACACCCACAAAGAAGATAGACATTTAAATACCTATTTTACAGATGGAGAAAGAAACACAGAAATAGCAATTAAAGGCCAGCACTAGCTATTGAAACTCCCAACCTCATATTCTTCCCTCTGCTCCCACATCCTATCAGCTGCCTCCTCCTAGCCTCTTATCACTATCTCTTCCACCCATTTTTCCTTATTTCCATCTTCACAACCATAATTCCATTTAGGGCTTTTTTATGCCTCTTCCCTGAGATATAGCAACCATTTCCTAATCAGTTGCCCAGCCTCTACCCCTAGTGCAGCCTACATCTGTGCCAAGTTAATCTTCCAAACACAGAGCTCTGATTATGTCACTCTGTTATGGGTTGGCTCATGCCCCCAAAAAATCCTAACCCCCAATGTGAATGTGACTGTGAACTGTGAATGTGACCTTTATTTGGAAATGTAATTATTTAACATGATATCATACTGGAATAAGGTGGGCCTTAGCCCAGTATGACTGGTACCTTTATAAAACAAGAAGACACAGAGACATAGAGAGAAGAATGCCATGTGCTAACAGATGCAGAGGCTGAGGTGATGGCATCTACAACTAAAGAAACACCAAGGATAGCAGGAAACCACCAGAAGCTAGGAGAGAAGCACGCAACAGAGACACTATCCTATCCCTCTGAGTCCTCAGCAGGAACCAACCTTTGCCAACACATTGTTTTCAGTCTTCAAGTCCCTAGAACTGTGAAAGAAAAAAAATTTGTTTTAAAACAGTTTGTGGTATTTTGTTATAACAGCCCTAGGAAGCTAATCCAATCCCCTTTACTCGTACTGCCCTCAAACCCTCTTGCCTCCACTTCTATTCTTTCCCTGACCTAAAATGTCCTCTCTCAGGATCCTACTCTATATTCTAAGGATCAATTCAAGCTCCACTTCTCTCCATAAAGCCATCTCTTTATCCCTTTCCCTCAACTTAACATGTGCTGGAAGTTGTGATATGTTCTCACTAAATATTTGCTAAAAGAGCCTGAGCTTTAAGATCTCTAATCCAATACTCTTCCCACTAGACTCCTAAGTAATCCATCTTCTGAGATGATGTGACCTCAAAGGAAACCCTAATTAGTATGCCATCATGGTTACTGTGTTAGTACCAGATGCTAGGGTCATGCAGCAGCTATTAGTGAGAGAACATAGACTATTGTTTTGAAAGGCCTGTAAGTGAGTAAGAGCTATTAAAAACATCAATCAAATTAAAGAAAATATTGAACAGCATAACCAAGATGCCATACTAGGTACTGTGGGGAGAAAAAGTTTAAGGCACAGTTCTTGTATTACTTTTACCTGAGGGAGGATAACAAGAGCAATATTTACTAAATTATTGTCGTTTTAAGGGCCATCAAGTCAGTTCCGACTCATAGTGACCCTATATAGGATTTTCAAGGAGCAGTTGATGGGTTTCAACCACTAACCTTGTGGTTAACAGACTAGTACTTATCCTACAATGCCACCCCAGGACTCCATCAACAACTCCTTTTTAGGTTTTTATAAAACTCTGAAATAGGAAAGGTAGGCAACACAAAGAAAAGCTGGTATTGAATATTCTCTTAGATCACATAAATAATTGATATCAACCCCACCTTGCTATCTTGTTATTCTACTTCCCAGACTGCTCCTTCTATCAACATCTCCTTTTTACCCCCAGCTCTATACCTTGGTGTGCCACTATAGAATCAGCATTGGGCTTCATACCACAAGGTTGGCAGTTCAAACTCATGAGCTGCTCCTCAGTAATCCTATACAGAGCCGCTATGAGTCAGAACCGACTCAATGGCACTTAACAACAACATACCCATTCCCAGTCCTTTAAAACTGCACATCAATTATATGAAGTGAAAATAAATGACTGCTCCCTCCTTCTTTAGTTGAAAATATTTGTCTAGAAGACAGGGAAAGCCTAAGACGAACAATATGGACTACTCTAAATAAATGAGTTCTGATGTGGCACCGTGGGTTAATGCGCTGAACTGCAAAGTCGGTTTGAACTGCAATGTCGGCGGTTCAAACTCATCAGCCACTCCTTGGAAATCATATACAGGGTCACTATGGGTTGGAACCAACTCAATGGCATTTTTTTAAAGTTTTTATTGTGAATTGAGTGAAAAACTATATGATTTGTTGAATGTAAAAACTGATTACATGCCCTATACACTTATTACAATAATTATAATCCCCTCCATGTACGATCAGTTAGCAGTATTTCTCTATATTCATTTTAGCTTTTTTGTTTTTAAACACTTCCATGGCATTTTACAACAAACAACGCTCTAAATAAAAAAGCAACGTTTTGGAAACTCAATATATTTTGTTCAGTTTATGTACATATATGAAAAAGGCAACTAATGCCAAGTATTCAGTGGAAATAGAACCTTGATAATGAAAAAATTCTGGGTAAAACCCATTTAAAAGGCAACTGTAGAAAAAAGTGACCATTTAGACTGAGTGTTCACTAAGCTTTGACCATGGATAAGTGACCATGATTTTTTTTTTTTTTTTTTTTTTTAGGTAACCCTAGTGAAAATCAATTTTTAAATTGGAATACACTTCAGCTCTGTAAAAAATCCAAATCTGGTCTGTTTTTTCTCTCTTTACACAGGCCAGCTCAGAATGACTTACGGAGTTCATTTCCTTCACTGAGAATCTCCACCCGGCGCACAAGCTGCTCAAACAGATTCCGCAAATTCAGCATCGTAGACTCCATCTTTCTGGCAAGAAATCAAATACACGTTAGGGGTCCTGCCTTCTCCCCCACATAAAAGATTAGCAGCAATCTGGTACAGCCACCAGCGACTAACAGCTGGACTCTTCCCTTTGTAGCTACATCACAAAGATCTCAAGTCAACAATTGATGTTTTGTGTGCTCCTTATTATAATAACAAAGTTGGAATGTTTAAGGCTCATTGAAAATTTGAAAAACATTTCACAGATCTCTGAATATAATATCCCCTCCCTGTCTATTTCTTTTCACCCATCTGCAATTCCTCTGGAACTGACAAGTCAACAGTTAGAGACAAGTATATGCATTGATTATTCGATGTGATTCTTAAGAGTCAAGCCTGTTGACTAACATAACACTTCTGCCACGTTCATTCTTCTGGACTTTGAAGACCTTTAATGTACCGTAAATGCTTTATTTTTAATTTTATGTTTAGCTAGTGCCCCTGTTGCAACTGCTTTTTTTTAAAAATGCAGGACATGGTCAGCACATTTTCTACCAACAGCACAAATGACGTCACACAAGTGATTAAGTGGGGGAAATCGCCAGCTCAGCAGCACAAGAATTATTTCTGTAATGCAGGGTTCTCTGCTGGACTGCGTGCGGGGACTGTGTCTAATAAATTCATACTAAGTATAGGCAAAGGATTATGTTGTACCACATTCTGGCATCAGAGAGACAATACACCACCTTCACAGTTAGAAGGGCAAAGGAAAAATCATTTGCTACTGTGTTCTGTATAGTGAATTTCAAGCTTCCTCTTTCCCCAAAAAACCTGCTGATAATTACATTTAAAACTGTGTCCTCACAGATAGTTCGGTTCCAAATAGACGTTAACTGGGAACACTTTGAGAAAAGTAAGATCTCCATTTAACAACCCAGAAAGACATCAACTGGATGTTATGAAAATTATCTCAAGGAAATGAAATTAAAAACCAAATTTCATTTGAAAACAAATGTGCTCAGAAACACAATTAAAGGATTCTTCGAATGTTTCTCCTAAATTCCCCTTCAACGTTCTAGCCCACGTCCTTATTTCATGCTTCTAAACAAATTTTAAGAACTTTTGTATGAAGGTCTAGTGACTCTACAATGTTTATAAGATTATATCCAAAACTGTGAGGGCAATAAGGGACTAGGGAAGGGAGGAGAATGCAACACAGGACAAAGGACTAGACATGAACATAAAGATATTTTTTATTAAATGTTACACAGTCATTCATTTGTACTTGTATGATGATTGTTCTAATAGCAAAAACACTTCCAATTCCAAGCCTAGATGCAATATATACCTGAATCAGGGCCACAAACCAAGATTTTCAAATGGTAAAATATCTGTTCCAAACTATATAATCACAGCAAGCTGCTAAGCAACCAGACCAACAAATGTAGTACAAAGCTCTGTCTCTAAACTAAGAACAAAGCTAAAAAAAAAAAAAAAAAAATTCAAACCAGAAGGAAGAAATCTGAAAGTCATAGAGATGCCTATGGACTTAAGAATAAGACAAAACAGGCAAACCTACCCAAGTGCTACAGAACAGAAGCTGAGGTAGAGCATCCAGTAGCCAATTCAAATGATTTCCTTTGGATCTCAGTAGAAATGGAAGGCACTGTTCAGTTTTAACATGGGGTGCTTATTTGTATTATTTCAGCATTCATTTGTATATTCTGAGATTATATATGATAGCCAGCTTCAGTATCTAGGAAAACTTCTATCCACCAAAGAATACAGAATAAGGAATTTTCATGGTGAAATTAGGGTTTTGAAAGTGGATCTCACCTCCACCCCCTTCCCCAGGGCTTTCATGTCTTAAGCCTTAAACAATAAAACAACCACCTGATCCTTTGTCTCCTTTAAAATATCCTCATATTTTCTCAAGTTCTTCTTATTCTTTTCATTTGTCTTTGTGTATGCCACTTCCTGGAGTAAGTTGGCTGACAGGGCAGATGCTCTCATGAAAACACCGATCAGATCCCTGAAAAGAACTAAAGACGCAGAGAACCTACATGGCATGGGAAGGGAGGGGAGGGGTAACACCTCACCCTGTTAACTAGTATTTCATACAACCACCATGATTGCATAGTACCCAGGAAATAGCTGTTTAACTGAACTCCTAAATGTAATGTTCTATTATAACACAACAAAGAGAGAACCCTGAACTTTGCCAGACCTTTGTAGTCTCCAGATTTAGAATTTTAGAAATCGTTTATTAATTTTTCTTAAAAAAAAAAATTTTTTTTTACATACAACAAAACATTTGCCATTTCAACCACATTTTTACATATATAATCCAGTCACACCAACAACCACAGTCTGCATTCTGCACAACCGTTACCCACAATACATTTCCAACTTTTTTTTTCCTCTCTCTCCTTTTTTTACCTTCTTTTAAGGAAAGTTCTCAATAATTTGCCCCAACGAGAAAACAAATACATACTGCTGCCCTTCAAGTACATGGAGAAAAAAAAAAAAAAAGCAAGTTAGCACATGTCTATACTCTAGTCAATGACTTTATTCTTTCCTCTTAACTTTTTGTGAAGTGGATGAAGGTTTATAGAGCAAATCATAAGTTTTACACTCAACAATTCCTACACGTTTTATTTCATCTCATTGATCACAGCCTCCTCCGTGTAACCTCTCTCATCTGACGTCCTCCCTGTGTTTCTTATTCCATCCCAACGTCTTTCCTAACCCTCCTGAACTAATCTTTTATTTTTCCCTCAACATGAGATATTTCTGAACAGAGTATGTCAAACTATCCCCCTTTAGTCTACTTCTCTCTCAGGCACTCACTTCTCTAAGCTACTGCTTTCAACTTGCTTGGCTGGCCTAGATGATGAGCTTGACTTTGAGATACTGCTCTACCCTTCCCTTCATCAATTCCCCTACCACAAACTGACTACCAATTTTGATTTCCCTATTTCTGTCATTCATCCAATCACTACTCAGTTCCAAACCTAGGATCACCTTTAGTTCCTTCCTTTCCTACAAGCATAGTCATCAAACCTGTGGTCTCTTCTTTCATACATGTAATTATGCCCACCCTCTCATCATCTGCACGCTGTAATCCCTCACTTCAACTGACTTCACTGTCCCCAGTCTTTCTCCCATTGTTTTGCTCAGTTGTTCCTCAGGCACAGGTGGTGGTGGTGGTATGCTGTGGAGTTGGTTCTGACTCATAGCGACCCTGTATAGGGTTTCTGAGGCTGTAAATCTTTACGGGAGCAAAAAGCCTCATCTTTCTTCCATGAAAGGCTGGCAGTTTCAAACTGCAGACCTTGAAGTTAGCAGCCCGACCCATAACCACTATGCTACCAGAGCTCCTTCAGACACATGTAACTGTGCTTAATTTAACTTTACCAGATGTTTATACCCTATGTCCCAGGTAGACTATAAACTTCTTGAGAGTAACCTTACATTTAGCACTAATGTATCACATACACACATACACAAAATATTTGACCAAAATATTTGATAAAAGTCAGAGGAAAAAAGGGAGGGAACAGTGAGGGACAGAAGTCCTAAATAAAGCTTTAGTCCTTCTATTTCTTCTATTTACCAGTAGTGTAAACTTGAGAAAATTACTTAAATTCTGGACTCATCTATAAAATGAGAACTATAATACCTGCCTTATTTATTTACCTCACATAATATTATGAGCTAATACAAGTAAAAATGTTATAATGCATAAAACGAATTTTTAAATATAAGGAATTATTAGAGTGGCTAGGGAGTTTTGTTTTTGGTAGCTGTAATTTCCACCTGGAGTCCTGATGTGTCGCTGTAGGATAAATACTGGACTGTAAAGTCAGTTTGAACTGTAAGATCAGTGGTTCAAATTAACCAGCTGCTCCTTGGAAACCCTATGGGTCACTATGGGTCAGAACCAACTCAACAGCACTTAACAACAATTTATACCTAGAACTTATTGTTGTTGTTGTTAGGTGCCATTGAGTCTATGAACTTACTCACAACATAACAAAACAATGCCCAGTCCTGCACCAACCTCACAGTAGTTGCTATACTTGAGCCCATTGTTACTGCCACAGTGCCACTCCATCTTATTGTGAGGTCTTCCTCTTTTTGCTGACCCTCCACTTTACCAAGCATGACGTCCTTCAGGAACTGGTCCCTCATGATAGTATGCCATCTTGGCTTCTAAGAAGCACTGTGGTTGTACTTCTTCCAACACAGATTGTTATTTAGGCAGTCCGTAGTACTTTTAATATTCTCCTCAAATACCATAAATGCATCGATTCTTCTATGGCCTTTGTCCAACTTATTCACTGTCCAACTTTCACATATGAGGTCATGAAAATACCATGGCTTAGGTCAGGTGCACCTTAGTCCTCATAACTGACATCTTTGCTCTCGAACACTTTAAAGAGATCTTGTGCAGCAGATTTGCCTAATAAATATGTGATTTGATTTCTTGATGACTGCTTCCAACTCAGACTAACTGCCAGTCCATGTGATAAGAGAGCCCATAGGGCTTTCTTGGCTATAGTCTTTCTCCCTCAGGGTCATTGGGTGGGAATCATCAAACTTTTGGTTAGCAACTAAGTATTTACCCTTTAAGTCATCAGGACTCCTTAACATCCTAGAACAATGATTTTCAAGTCTAGTTTTCCCCCATTAGGCTGTCTAGTAGACTATCTCCATATAAGGATATCGCTAAATTCAAATTTTAAGACCTTTTTTTCGTTTTGCGCTGTCGGATAAGCACTCATAGCAAGGTCAGCAGTTCAAGCTCATCAGCCGCTCCTCAGAAACCCTATGCAGGTCACTATGAGTCGGAACCGACTTGATGGCACTTAACAACAACATGCTCTTGGTGTGACACTGTGGTTTAATGTGCTAGACTGCAAAGTCAGTTGAACCACTAAGTTGGCAGTTCAAGCTCACCAGCTGTTCCTTGGAAACCCCATACTGGGTGTCTATAGGTCGGAACAGATTCAACAGCACTTAACAACAACAACATACAGTCACAGTAGTCAAAACACTCTGCAACTGGTAAACAGAAACACAAAGCAAGGGAATAGAAATGAGAACCCAGAAATAAATTCATTCACCTATATGGACAGCTGATCTTTGGCAGGGGCCGAAATTCATTAAATGGGAAGAGATAGTGTCCTTAACAGATAGTGCTGGCAAAACTGGATATTCATTTACAGTAAAATGAAATACAATTCATACCTCATACCATAGTTAAAAAACTAACTCAAGATGGATAAAAGACCTAAATGTAAAAACCTAAAAAATGAGGACGCTTCAAAAAGTTTGTGGAAAAATTCTATAATCTTTCAATTCCATTTTTGCATGAACTCTTTGAAGACATCTTGTATAAAGATCACAGAAGGAAAAACAGGAAAACAACCTAGGGGTCTAACTTATAGCATAAATAGTCTATCAAAAATATAACTAAAAATTCACAAACAGATAACTGAATGACTGGGTCCTCCTAAAAATTAAACACATAGGTATTTCAAAAGACTTCTCCAAAAGAGTAAATAGAAATCTACACACTCGGAAAAAAATTTGGCAATAACATATTGGAGAAGGCACTAATCTCTACAATTTATAGAAAATGTCAACACCTCAACGACAAAAAGATAAAAAATCCAATTTAAAATGGACAAAGGACATGAACAGACACTTCACCAAAGAAGACATTTATGTGGCCTACAAACACATGAGTAGATGCTCTTGATCATTAGCCAACGTCGTTGTTAGACGCTGTCGAGTCAGTTCCAACTCACAGTAACCCCATATAAAACAGAGTGATACACCACCCTGTCCAGTACCATCCTCACAATTGTATCTTTGAGCCCATCAACCAGAGGGGCTCATCTTCTGGCTCCATATCAATGCTCTGATGCTATTCATAATAAACATTTCAGTGGCTAACATTTTAGGGTTTACAACAGTTTGTGGACTCAAGGTGTGATGCTGCAGAATAAGCACTGGACTGCGAACCACAATGTCAGCAGTTCGAACCCACCAGCTGCTACTCAGAAATCCTATACGGGGTCACTGTAAGTTGGAACCAACTCAACAGCACCTAACAACAATCTTTCAGAAGTGCAGTGTTTAAAAGCACTTCCACGCCTACCTTTAGTAAGAATACGCCTGCCCCTGGAGTAGGCACATCTGGCAGCAGCCTCTCCTTTGGGGTGACCTCAATACCCACCCAGGGCTTTGGGAGTCAGACTTTTTGGATCAGTGGCTCCTTCACTTTCCATTGGCATGGGATCCAAGACCCCAGGGGCTCAACAGCAACTACAGATCCAAAAGCAGCACACCCTCAAGAAATAGCATTGCACTCTCATGCTCACATCCTTACCCTTGCCTAAGTCTGGACCTTGACACCTGCTAGGAAGAGCCACTGCACCTTCTAATTCAAAAAAGTAAATCTAATTCAGATCTCGGGCTTCTGCCACCAAGGAAGGAGTGGAGACCCTGGGGGTGCTTTCCCTCAAGGAAGTAGGTCGCCAGCCTCTTGAGGGAGCAGAGAGGCAGGATAAGGCCAGCAGATGCCTCCACTCTACTTGAACAGTTCTACTAGGGAGGCTGGAAAAGTACAGAAACATCTATCT